CTGTTGGGGGAGATGGACGGCATACAAATTGAATGAATGAATGAATGAATGAATGAATGAATGAATGAATGAATGAATGAATGGTGTGGGGAAAGATTGTTAGAATGAGTTCTTCCCTTATCTTCCATAAAAGACTGCATAAGGGAAAAACCATATGAATGCAAGGATCGGAGAAATGGCTTCAATGAAAGTGGTCACCTTGCTTCCTATCAGAGGACCCACGTAAGGGCAAAACCCTATACAGTAAATGCATGAAGTGTGGAAATAGCTTCAGAGGCATGTTCTATTTATTACCATATAAAAGTCCACACAGGGCAAAAACCATATAAATGTATGGATAATGAGAACATTTCACTCAGCATAGACAACTTATTTCCCATAGAAGAGTCCACATGGAGGAGAAATTGTGTAAATACATAGAGCATGGAAAGAGTTTCAGGATGAGCTGTTCTCTTAGTTCTAAAAAAATTCACTCAGGAGAGAAGACCTGTAAAGGCATGGAATGTTGATAAGTTGCTTCTTGCTTCTTATACCTGAGAAGATGGAAAGAGAGAGACGAAATGGAAGGCAAGGGATGTGGAATAAGACAAGGGGTGGTGTAGTGGGGAGCACCTGGCCCTTTAAAGAACAAGCCAGGCTTATGGGCTCAAAGATCACTTTACCCAAGTGCCAATAAGGGAAAAGAAGGTGAGAAGAGTTTTGGGGGTCTTTTGAGAGTGTTGGCTGGAGTCCTGGATGAGAGGTACCTCTGGCAAAGCTGGAAACAGTTGTTGGCTATAGCTAGAATTGCATTAGGGCTTTTTGGTTTTATCCTTTTTCAACTGTGTTCTGTGTGTGAAACCTTATCTAACTCCTGTGTGTGAAGTTGATTTTGGTTTAAATCCTGGAGTTGATCTTTGGCCTTTTAGTACCCACCTCAGTTTGGCTGAGCTACTGACTCTCAAAGCCAGGCCTGGGTGAATGAGGATTTCCCCTTCAATCCTCTTCTGGTTCCCTAGAGGGCTTGTGGGGAAGGGAGAAACTGGTTGGTAATGAGGGGGTGGGGTGTGGCAGCAAGGAGACCTACAGTGGGGCAAAAAAGTATTTAGTCAGCCACCAATTGTGCAAGTTCTCCCACTTAAAAAGATGAGAGAG